CTGTTCAGCTGGCATGCTTATGTTCTTGCAGAGAACATCCACTGGAAAAAAATGTGTGACTGATCTTAGAAAGACGGAAGAAATCACTAAAGACTGAATCAATGTATTAAAATCTTCTTAGGAGAAATGTTATGGAATCAAAGAAGTAATTATTACATTTTCCTCCAATACTAGTTGGAGAACTGTGCGTAAATTAACTACTCTGAAATGTTAGACCTATTTTCAAAAATGGCTTCATAGGAAATTTCTTGTGAAAAGAAATCTGCGTTCAGTTTGGGTTAAATGAATGACTAGGCCTCCTGCTTATTTTGAAGAAATTTGTAGGGAAGGAAACACAAAACAGTTCATTATGTTGAGTCATGGGTTGTCTTGGCAATAGAGTTCTTGCATTCATTTTCTCAGAATTTTAAAGTATGTTGTAAAGATGGATTTTACTTTTTTGACCGCTTAACAATCAGGCATCAATGAAGAGAGACAGTAGACTACAGTACTGTAAGGCACTTGAGATTTCTTTAACATCGTTGCAAGTGACGCAATGCAAAAGCCTTTGAAATTTTACACTCAGTAATCTAAATAGTCATACTGAGGGAGTAGTTAAGCTTTTCCCCAATAGCTGGACCTTTTTACTGGTAGATTCAATTAGTTTTAATAAAACAAACCATGTTTTAACTGTGCTTGCCACATAGCTGATTTTTCTTTGTGTGTTATATTTTAGTAAAAATTTTCATTGATGATCTTTACCAAAGAAAGAGAAATTTGCTTTGTTGTTTTTTAATTAATGACATTCCATTTAAGGACAAATTACCAAAAGTAAGGAATGTCTTGTATCTAGAGTAACATATATAGCAATGTCTTCATCACAAATACCAATAATCTTTCTAGTAAAGAAATGATTAGATAAGATTTAATAAGTTCCTCATATTCCTATTAGAAATGTGAAACAGAGTACAGAGAATGCTGTTAAATCTGAAATGTTATAGTTAATTCTTTTGCCTTTCCTACTGAGATAAGTATTCATCCTGATGGTGTAAGATTTTGTTGCACAGGTTCAATTGATGATAATTAAGGCTACAAGTCTGTCATGGTTTCTGTGAATTTTCGGGACTTCCATTACTTCTGTAGCAGTGGTGTGGCAGGCTGTGTGCCTGCTGCAC